TTTGTATTTAGTAAATAATAATATAGGAAATTGTATTTTCGAACATTAATTTTTTGTTTGTATTAAATACTTTCACCATAATAGGGAACTAAAATTGTCATTTATCGTTAAAACAACAAATTTTGTGAACAATTCAATTTTGGTAGGTAAGTGTTTTGTGTATGCATAATAAATGTTACATTAAAATTTAAAAAATTCAAAAAATTACATTAATTGGATTATTAATTAGAATGTAGGTACTACAGTTTCCAGCTTCTACTACAACATTACGTTATATTATGTTTTTAATTATTAAAATGTCTAAAAAGTAAACGTAAATCCCAAAATAATATGAAATTATGAAAACAAACTTATGCTGAAACATCGACTCTCCCGGTGAAACCTAGCTAGAGTGCATCATCAACAATGCAAACGTCCAGTACGTGACGCCATCGAAGAAACAGCTATCTTCATCTCGTTCCGAACTGTAACTTGAAATTATCGAAATATTTTATGAAAATTACCTGAACATAACGAAATGTGCGAATTCGTGTTAAAACTTACATAATAATAATATATACGGCTCAACGAACTATCTGACCATATTGATGGCTTATTATTTTTTTTTTCACTAAAATTATTAGAATTGTTAATCGTCGCAGACGAATGTCGACAATTGGCGATTGCCATATATGATATAAAATATATTTTTTAATATGATAAATCCATAGAATTTCTACACTCAGCACATAAACGGTCTATTGATAAATCGTTTGTTCTTTTACAAAAATGATTGTGGTATGCAATGTATTCTTGTTTTCTATTTCAGTTATTTATCGCATACTAAATTTAACCAAACAAATTAGTCCATAAATTTATAGACATCACAAATATATAATTTAAATTATAATTTACAGTAGTTTATATCTGTGATATCTAATATATCTAATATCTAATGCATTCTCCTGCCGGAGTCCATACTCCATAGACCCAGTTCAGGGGAAGTTAAATTTTTACCTACAAATTTATAAAAAAAAAGTGGTTGGGACAAGGAACTTTATGAATTTTAAACTAATAAATAATTTACAAAATAATTTTCTCATGACTATAAATAGCTCAAAAAGAGTCAAAATATTTTGAAAATTTTACCATGTATGGAAAATTCAAGTAGGTATAAATATTTTTTACTTTTTTTGTTACAGGTGGAAAAACGTATGTAACTTCTTCTATTTAACTTACCCTACCAATAATATCACTATATAAAATAATTAAAAGTGATAATTTGAAGACAATTTCTTGGAACCCTAGAATATTTTTTTAATTTAGTGTCTAAATCATATAGTTTAGCACCCAAGCAAATTTTTCAATTTTTTTTTTTTGGAAACCTGATTTGCAACTAGTTATAAAGATTTATGATGCAAAAATTAATTCACGGAAATCATTAGTTGTTATCGTATAGCCTTACGAAGTTCACTATTTTCGGTGTTTTACGCACCCGTACAACGCTTAAAGTTTACCTAGCTTAAGTAGGTATAACAAATAACAATTTTTTTAACCTAGTGAAATCAACGCCTTCAGAATGATGGTGAAAAAATAATTCATAACAAGTTTTACATAACAAGTCAAGGGATGTTTTTAATTATAATTGTCCGAGCGAGCACAGCGTGCAAGTGAATACGCCGGGTAGATACATGAGATATATGAGATAACTAAAAATTTCAATTAGCTATAACTTTAAAATAGACTTCCCTATCATTTTCAATTAAAAACTAATGATTTTCGGCAATTAATTTTTGCAATATCGTTCTTAATTCGTTTTAACTTCGTGGGTCAGACTGGGTCTAGAATGAAAAGGTTCTAAATCGATTTTATGAAATTGTCCAGGAGAGCAATTTTTTAAGGTTTGAGTTAAAATATCTTATTCCTTGAAATCATTTTGTTTAAATTAAAGTTCTAAGGCACGTAGCAACTTGTATAGTTTAATTCACATCATATAATAATAATTTTCTGTATTGGTTGGTATTAAAATTAATAAAATACATATTATAAATTGGTTCTACAATTAGGAACTTTTCAACCTAAAATAAAAAGAAATATATTCATCAATTAGAACTTTTTCATTATTAACTGTTATTTGTATTATTGTTAGCTGAATAGTTTTGATTTATAAATTCAGGCATAATTCGAATACAACTTTTTGTATTCTAATTGTTAAAATGTATTTAAAAAAATAATAATCCTTTGAAATTAAGTACTTATTCATATTTTGAATAATTCACTCAGTTACTAGTAAATGTTTTGAACTTAAAAAAAAATGCATTTGTGTGAACGGCTAAAATTGTGTATAAAGCATTGGCCAAAGCATCAACATACATTTGTATTACATTTTAGTATATGATTATAGTAGACAAATGTTGATTAAAGCTTAAATAACAAATTTTAAAAAATGGCATTTGGCTAAAGTTATATAGTTTTGACACCTTATTATAGTCCATAAACTTATTTAGAGACATCTGTAAGACAATAAAAGGTTTTTTTGAGTTAACTTTTAGTAAAGATCTAACAAATGACAATGGTGACTAAATATCTATTTTTTTTATATGTTTCGTAATCTGTGAATATGCATTATCCACTTCTTGGATGCACGAGTGGCCTGAGACTGAAAACTTCATTGTAACGGATTTTGTTCTGGGATTCTTCAACATAAACCCAATAATGATATTATCTTATTCCAGTTTTGTGGCACACAACTATCAGACCATGTAACAATGTTTAGTATACCCAAATTATTATCAACAATATATTGTAATATGTTAATAAACACACTTGCAAGGTCATTTCCTGATATACCAATAATTGTTTCATTCCAAATAGCACAATATATAGTATTGGAAGTAGACAAATGAGCTGTACGGTTTTAAACATTTATTTTTGAAGTAATTAAGGATTTATAATTAAGTATAAATAAAATGTTATCATTTCTGCTGACACTGTAGTATAAATTGTGAATACTTATTATTTCATCTCGATCAAAATTAACTAAACAACTATATGCACAACTATTACAAGACCTTAGAAAGTTTACAATTTTGGCTGGAATTATTTTGCCTGTTTTAGATACATGTTCAAGTCCTTTTTCAGTCAAATCATTATTGATTGATTGTTTCCAATTTTTGGGATTTCTTTGTTTTTTTCTGGTAAACTTATTATCCATTTTGATTGGTGCCTTTTCTGATGGTGATTCTTCACAAGATGATTATTCAACTAATCTACAACATGACAAATTATTTTAATTTTGTTATTAAATTACAGTTTGGTGCATTTACTATCTTATATTATAATTACTAAAAGACATAGATTTTTAAATGTAATTTGGGTATTCTTAGGTATAGCAATGCACTCTGTGCAACATGTTTGCATTTATGCAATACACTTTTAGTCTATTTCCATAAGGTTAATATAAAAATTAATAAAATAGTAAAACATAGTACAATACTATAACATAATATACAAAAATAAATTGTTCAGTGAAAATTAGTATTATATATTTAGTACATTTAATGTATAAACATAAAACATTAAGGTATTTCTAGTTCCTACTCCGTTATTAATTTGTTATTAATATATGCAGGCTTTCAATAATTATATATTTATCTGATACTAATATTAAGAAATGTTTTTATTTTGTGTATCTCATATTGTCTTATCATATTGAAGTATACTACTCATAAAAACATAACAAAAAACACAAAATACATGATTTTATAGCAACAATTATAGCTAGGCACTGGTTGAATTATTTTAGCTTAAATTGGAACTATGTTTAATTAAAATAAATTATTATTGTAGTGTAACATTACCTTGACATGTTTGTTGAATTTTCATCAATTAAACCATAAGAGATGTGAGTATGTAGGTACTTTCTGAGGTGACTTTTAGAGTCCATCCAATCTTTAATACCATATTAAATTTGAATTCAATGATATAATATCATTGTATAAGAAAAACGATTCTGAGCGGAGACGGCATGTCAGTCTAGGTTTAAGACATATATATACATATCTATGGTATTTTAAAAAATATTGGCCTTATAATAGGTACCTATAATAAATTAAAAATTAATCATATCACAATATCTGACGAATTAAGATAAAGGACAGGTATATGGGATAACTAGATAACGCTGTAATCGTATGGATACCCCCACCATAATATGAACATGACACTTTTGGTCACCATTTCCAGTCCATAATTTTGTATTAGATAATAGCAGGTATAAAAACCCTGGGTTGAACTTTGAACGATATCGTATTTATTAGTTATAACTTCTGGTCTTTACGAACGAAAAATACTATGTACTTATGAACAGTTGTAGCACAGTTACTTATGAGAAACCACCAAACTTTGAGGCACTGTATCTCGGTAATGGATTAACATAAAATGAAAATTTTAACGTTATAATTCATAAAAAAAATAGTTTTATTGTTTTATAAGATTTTTATTATGGGTTGCCATTTGAAAATCAAAAGTTGATAATAGTTTGACCAATAAATAGGTATAAGGGTGAAAAAAATTAAAGTGTTATACAAATGTAGAAAAGTATGCAACTAAAATTTTTAGAAAAAAAATGTTGGTAAAATGTCTATACTTTCAGTCTTCAGAAATAATGAGTGTTCTTCGATAAAAAATCACCCTTTATACAAAAAACGATTGGTTTCGTAAATGTTCGTTTCCACGTCGACACAATATTTGTGTATTTACAATATATTTATGGGCACATAATATTATACTATATTATTTTAATATACGCTCCTTTTTAACGAGAATAACTTTCTCCGGAAATTATTTTAAAACCAACGTTATCATGAAATACATGGACCGCAAGGTGTTCGAATTCGGGACGGAGAATGAGGGCCCAGGACCTGCAGCAAATTACAATGCCCGGGAATAAAATATAAAATTAACGAGAATAACTTTCTCCGGAAATTATTTTAAAACCAACGTTTAAACCAACTTTTATCATGAAAAAGTGTCCGGAATACATGGACCGCAAGGTGTTCGAATTCGGGACGGAGAATGAGGGCCCAGGACCTGCAGCATACGGGGCCCGGACAACGGTGGGTCGCCTGAACCGATTGCCAACCGTAGCCGGTGCACCAGCGTGCTCGATGCATCAGAGGCTGGACTTAGGCAACGAGACCGAGGGGCCAGGGCCGGCAGTGTACAATCTGGCCCAGCTGACGTACCGTGGTCGAGCCGTGGCGCCACGGTACAGCATTGCCAAGAAACTGCCTTTCGACGGCGATATAGACAGCCCGGGACCGGCGGCGTACAAGCCTAGAGTCCCGGTCAAGGGTCCAGTACCCAAGATGCTGTTTCGGATAAACAACCCGGATCCCGTAACGACAAAAATATACTATTTTTATAATTGTTTTAATTTTAAATTACTAGGTGTGCCATCTGGACACATCTGGTTAACTAGGTACAAACATTATTAATTTCCTTTTTGTTTTTGTTTAGATAATCTGATAATACAATTTAAACTCTGAAGTATATCAATTATCAATATTTATATTATAATGGATACTGTCTGTATAATAGTAATAGAATTGGCATCGGGCATCAAGCGGTGGGATGTCAACCATCAACCACCAACAACCCACCACCGATTTAAATCATCCTACAAATTACAACAAATACATTTTACCACGACTTAAACTAGACGGTTATATTTTTAATAATTTAAATATGTGTTCATTGCTTTTGTCAATTTAGATTTAATTTGAGAAAAAAATATCAATTAATCCCAAATTATTATACTATTATACATTTTACTACATTTATAACGAATACTATTTAAATTTAAAGAAACATAATATAGTGTTTTATTTTATTTGACATTGCTGACTAGCAGATAAAAAGTTGCAAACACTATTTTCATCGCAGCCAATTGAGAAGTCCTTGGGTAAATAACTATAGGAGGTTAAAGTATCATTGTTTTTAAGACTTCAAACTACATTGTTATTAGCTAGTTTTTACTGTGGACAATATTCCACACCATTATTTTTAACTTGCAATTCACTATGTCATGCGAGAAGCTCAAAAATAAATCATAAAATGAACTTGGTTTTTTTGACACTCCATTCGGTTTGTGTGGCGACTACGGTTGGTACGCGTTTTTTATGTGAGGCAGATAGATCGTCGCAAAGAACCCTGGTGCCTGGTGGTCACCCATCTGGGAGCCTGCTCGACCTCTGCACACATTATATATTAGTGACTGCGTCCAATCACCGCGATTCACCAGGTCACCATTCAATGAACTCTAATACCGTCCACGTTAAATTGTATATTATTATTATATGTTTATATTATATTTACCAGTTTAAATTCTTGCAAATGTATTGTATTATATAACATTTGACATATAAACAAATTGTATACAATATTACAATCCTTAATATAGCAATAGTACTGAGTAGTAAAATATATAATGGTATATACAGATTAGTGTAAATTTAATAATTTGTTGATCGTTGCCACATCGATAAAATCAAATATTAAAATTACTTGACCGTCATATTTAAAAGGTGATTTTGAAAGGCTTTAATATAGATACTTGTATATTTTAGAAAATTAAGGTTTCGGAAATATAGTTAAAATATATTAGACTAGGTAGGTACGTTATGTTATTTGGTATTAGCAAGACTTAAACAGTTAACCTAACTATTAATTAATCATAGAAATAATAAACTAGGTATAGGATCAATGGATCATAGTCAAATACAATTTTAATGTAAACATTCAAATTAATAATTATGTATATTCTTATAACGTATCTACTATACAGAGTATGACAGTATATATTATGAAAAAAAAAAGAAAATTAAATATGTCCATTTATGTTCAATTATTACCTAATAATCGTTATAGGGATCAATTGTGTACCGGTTATTAGGTATTGTTTCATTGCTCAACATTTAAAAAAACCTAAAATATATATAGATCTATTAGAAATTTGATAAAGGTATACAAATAGTATGTACCTTCCTATTATAATAATTAAAAAATATAAAATGTATCAAAAAAGGATAATGGAAGGATTGCTGAATCAAAAACTTGAAAATTTACCCATAGACCATAAGTAATTTCATATTAGAAGTTCAAAAGTAATAAGCATATACAAATTAAAGGCACACATTTTTTTATGAGCATTTTAAATTCAAATTTTGACGAAATCCATCATAATCGCGAACATTATCAAATTATTTTGTATTTAAAAATGTACATAATGTTCAATTTTTATAGCTAAGAACTAGAAGTCCCCCCAAGCCCCCCATTTCCGCCTATGCTCGTATACATTATAAACATATAATATAACGAGCCCATGGCTGATGGGCCTTTCGCTGATAAATTATTTAACTAAAAGCTGTTTTTGAATAAATCTAGCTTATCAAATCTATCTTAAGTACACCTATAATTGTATAATTAATTTTAATTAATGCAATCTAAACTACGACCTGCAGTCACATCTTAATTGGTTGACGGAATATCACTTCAAGCGTGAAACTTAGCACTCTAAGTACTGTGTTGGCAGCTATTTTAAGACGAGGAAAAATAATTCAATTAATTGAAAACATTACTTTGCTTTACTTTAATTCAAACACTATATTATATAAATACCAAACTTAAAAAAAGTTAAATGCTTCTTGGAAACAATTTCACTGTCCAAATATCACAATATTATAAATAAACTAATTGTATTCGATTAAACAGTGTATAGGCACAATCGTTGTCAACAAATATCAATACTAGCCAACACGGCATAATAACAATGTTATATGTGACGTAGTGTTTACTGCTTATACGTCATAATAATATCATAATAATAATAATGAGGGACGGAGTGGCCGAGCAGATTAAGGCCTCGGTTGCGACGCACACTGGCGCCAGTTCGATGCCGGCCGCGGGTGGCATTTTTCTTCGGGAAAGTCACGGTGTCCGGAGAAAAGTGCCACCATCCCCCACCCGGGCATGGCAGATACCTACGGCTGCCCACTAAAAAATCTGCCAAAAGCATAAAAACACACGTGTTTAAAACTTACAGTACCCTCCCCCACAGTAAAAACCACTCAATGACCTAATTTTTGCCGCGGGTTAATTAATAAAATAAAAATAATAATAATAGGTAGGTATATATAACGTCATTGAAGATACTTCAGGTATTACTTGTAGGTATATACAATAGTTTATTGTGTGGCAAGGGCTGGAAGTGATCAATTTCAGCGACAAGTCGGCAAAGGTAATGCACTATGCAGGGATATTCTATGCAACAACCAGACTATTCTACGAAAACAATTGCATGAAAGAAAATTGTTTGCTCGTCATGCAGGGAGGTTATAATATGAATATAAGATGTTGCCCACGATGTAGATAACCTAAAGTTTATGTTTTGTAAGGACCGTGGTATATAGTTTTCAGTGTTGCCCCAATTACTTATTCGAGAGGGGGTAACATTTATTTTACCCCCAATGATTTTTCGACATCATACAGCACACATTTTATACATACATTTATCTAGTTAAGTCTCAACACAAATTAATGTGACTTTCTGGTAAGGTTTTCTTTTAACTTTTCTTTGGTAGACAGTCGAACATTTTTTAATTTTCTCAATTTTAAATGAATTTTGTTTAAGTTTCAACTTTAGACCCATATTGAAAATAATATATTGTGGATCTGTGTTCAACTTGACCGAGTGAGAAAATTATTTATCGATGATAATTAAAAATAAAAATGTTTAATGCTCAAAAAGAGTCTATATATTTTGAATATCTTGTAGGAAATATCTTTCAGGAAAATTCTTATATATTATATAAAAATTTTGTTAAAATATAAAGTTTTTACGGTTATTCATTTTTGAGTTACAACAGAAAAACACAATCGATTTTGTCGATAACTGGTTTTGTGTAAAAATTACTTTTATATTTGTTAATTTTTTTTTTTGTTTTTCACGACGCTTTTGAAAATTACTGGGAACTTTTTTACTTTTGATTTTTGACTCAACAAAGTATCAACTTGATTCACTTTCCTATCAGAAAAGATGCTGAAGTAGAAATTTGAACCATTTTTACTGTCATAATAGGTGATTGCAGACATAAAATAAAAATAAAATATAAAAATACAAATCGTTGTAAAATAAAATTTTTCATGTGTGCCGGGGGGCCATATCCCACGCTATTTCAGTTGATATGTACTAATTGTTTTATCACTTGTAAAATAAAAAAAGTAAATGTACTGTATTATCAGAGATTTTGACTTTTTACACAATACTATTGATTATAAATACAAGAATTTATGTTTTAATGGTAAAACTATTAATTAAATTATTAGTTATTGGCTATTTCTAATGTTATCACTAGGGCTCGGATTTTAAAGCATAATAAATAACAAAAAAAGCACAAAATTTTTTTAAAAAAGCAAAAATGAAGCATATTTATTTTTCAAAAAAGCAAAAAAAAGCATGACTAAAAATTAACATAAATTAGTTATAATTTTATAAAACTCAATAAAAAAAAATTAAAAAATTAATTTAAATTAAAAAAAGAATTTACTACCATGTATTTGGCAAGATTTTCAGAAGTGAAACTGACTCTATTGTCTGACAGGATATTTTTATACATAGAAAACGAACGCTCTATATCCACCGAAGTGATCGGTGCATACTTCATGCAAGATGTCCGTAGTCTCATCAATAGACACCCATATTTTTTGATCTGTTATTGTATCACGAATTTTTGCCAATGTATTTTCATAGCATGAATTGAAATATCCTTTGCGTAATGTAGACTCGTCAGGAATAGTTTTTTTGCAATACTTTGTTAAAAATTCTCGAAAATGTTTATTATTTAGTTTGTTCATTGGAATATTTGCAGCTACCAATGTTGAACATAAATCGGCATTAAAATCTGACTGACTACTAAACTGTTGTAAAAATGGTTGAAGTAATGCAGACTTTTCATTTTCGTGTCTTTTCACAGCTTGAACATGTTTTTCTCTCCGTACATGCTGTTGTACATTATATTTTTTTTCATGTGACACTTTTATTTCACAAAGCTTGCAATATAAAATCGAGCCATCTGTCTGAAAAAATTCTTCACCAAATTCAAACACTAATTTTTTTAAAAATACGTTTGTTTTAACTTTTGGCATTTTAAGAATTACGACACTATAAACCACTATAAAACGTAAATGTTGAACTGGTCGATATCGATGTTATACGAGTACTAAAAGTAGTTTCTACAGGCTATATGCATTAGCCGATAAGCTATCGACCCATAATCTGTGTCTGTAGATCGATAATCTATACGTTTAAGGTCGCTTCACACTAATGGTACGGTCGCGGTCTGGCGATGGGTAAAATATAATACCTATATTTATATTATAAATTATTATTGCGGGTTTTCACATTTCTTTTTCAATTTTAAAATTCCACTGCTAGAATAACTGAAAAAAGCAATAAAAAAGCAAAAAAAGCATTTACACTAAAAAAAGCAAAAAAAAGCAAAAATAAATTCGTTTATTTGAAATCAGATTAACGTGAAACAAATTTATGTATAAAAATTAGATTTCTATCTTAAATATATAAAAAGAAGCATTTGCTTTAAAATCCGAGCCCTAGTTATCACACAGTACACACTGCACGCTGCGACACACTAGGAAGTCATCTTTCTTATATTTGTACAATATCTTTTTACACTTAGGATTACGATTATCCACCAATTTTGGTTGTACACCCACCCCTTAAAATAGGTGTGGCGGCTGCCACACCTAATACATGGGTTCGGCGCCACTGTGTCAACCCTGGGTCCAACGTTTCCAAGTTTCCGTCAACACTGTCACGAAAAAAGATTACGATGGCCAAGAAAATCGACGAAATCATAGACATCAAATCACCCGGTCCGGTATATCAAACGGTGCCTTTAAACAAATACAAAACGAAAGCGCCCCAATATAGTATGTCGAAGAAATATGAAAACCCTCTGTTGGTCAACGAGATGAATGGCCAATCGCCAAGCCCGCAGGCATACAATCCCACGCTCAAGTACAAGTATACAAAGTTATGCCGAATTTTTCGTTTGGGATGTGGCGTCCCGAGAAATTTCCACCATTAGTGGTGTGTGGCGACGATGTTAAAATAAAAAAATAAACGGTTTGTAACTATATTTTCGTCTAAGGACCTCGCCGTCGCGTGTCGTAGTGTATAAAGGCACTATAACGACATATAGGTACCTACGTCCTACAGTGTATATGAAAAAAATATACCACTATTAAATGTTATATTATTTATGTATTTACCTGATTACACGCGTTACAGTGATAATGTTCTTTTCGTTTGAGCTTGCAGAAAGCGCGGCTGCAGGGTTGCTCAGGTCCGTATTTCTCATGTCGTTCTAAACTCATCCACTATTCCACTCTGGTAAAACTTGAATAGTCACGACCGGTTCGATACTCAAACTGGAGTCTGTTTTCGGTTTTTCTAAATAATGCACAAACAATATTTCCATTAATATTTATTAATTATTCGAGTAGTTAAATTTATTATATTGGCAATTTAATTCGATACTGTAATAATTAATAATCAGTACTATAGCTAATTAATAACAAGAATCGAATGGTGTACAATCAGTCTTCCGACTTTATTATAATATAATATTATAGTGTGACAATAATAATAAGACGTGTAAAATGTTCGATCACTTCCACCGAAAAAAGCGAAGCTAATAAATTATAATAATATGTGTGTATAATATATACTAGATATTTATATATATATAGTATATACATGATATACTTATCGTATATAGTACACAATCAATTTCTAAATAATATAAATATATATATAAAAAAAAAAATAATAATAATAACTATAACAATAATTTCTGCATGACCCACCTGTCAGGGTTGCAGGGTCTGAAAAATTTGGAGAATAACTCTTAGCGTTCGATAGGCCGCTCATAGGGTAGAAAGTGCCCGAAGCCTTCACCACTTTGAACAAGACAGAAAAAAAAAACAATCAAGACAAAAATACTACGCTAAGATAATTCGTTTAAAACAGAAACTATTAACTAGTTTAAGCAAGCGAGCGAAACACCACGACTACACTCTACTGAAGTTCGAAAACAAGTGGAACGTGGACAAAACTGTTGATATTTCCGAAATGCCAGACGCCACGTCAATCGCGTGGGAATGTGGACATTTTTAGACTTTAAGCGGACGTTCTTTCTTGCCAATCCTTCATAAAACGAAAGAGCGTAGGATTGGCGTGTATCATATTTTTTTGGTTCGGTCTTTGCGCGTCGCGCGCCAATCCGCCGGTACTGATCGCACGAACGGCGCGCCGTTCCAATCTCGCGAGAAAACGCGTACGTCTAAAGCGGCCTATAAGCGGCCTATAAGCGGCCTATATTAATTAATTTAAACAAGTAAACTAGTAAATGATAACATATTATGATTTAGACGGATTACAATCACAAACATGTGCAGATTTTACATATTCGTTTTTTACATTTTCTATAAATTCATTACCCTTACAAAGTAAAACAAATATACATTTAGGATTCCATTTTGCGTGTTCAACAAACGGAATTTCATCTTTAGTCCATTTTTGTAAGACTAGTCCGCAACAAAAACATTCGACTATGTTAGCAGTTCCTGAATACTTAAATCCAGCCTCAGATAACGAATATTTATTTTGACATAAAGTAGGTGGAAATGAATTATATGATTTTAATCTCGATAAAAATGTAGTAAAATCTGAATGCACTGGATACGAATTATTTCTTACTAAATAAACCAATGAAGGAAAATCGTTAGAAAGCTTCTGTAAATTCATGGTTTTTAATAAAACTTGAAATAATTGGTTGAAAAAAAATCGAATCAATAAGATAATGCACTGAAAAAACTAACACAACTTGATTGTACGACGGCTTGATAGTAACTGACTAAATGTTTTAAATAAAATCTTGTCTGACAAATTAAAATCGTTTTGAATTTTCTCTAGAAAATGTTAGGGAGATTGGTTTACTGTAAGCCGTAAGGCATACATTCCTCCTTGAACTATTTTCATCCCCCCGTAAAAATTAACTCAGAAACGCCAACCATACTTTTTAGAAAATTACCTATACGGTGATCGAATGTGCTGCAAGAGGGACTTTCCCGCTTGAACTTTTTTCATCTACCCGTAAAAATTAACTCAGAATCGCCAAATTCATAATCGCCAAATTCATACTACTCCCGGTGCACGGTCATCCGGTTGAACTGTTCGCTGCAACTGCCCGCAATGTGCAATCATGTCGCTGCGACATCACTTATTCGTGGCCAAGTGTCTGCCTGAGAGCGGGCCACCGGGCCGGAGGAGACCATGACAAATATATTTCGGACATCAGTCTTCAAACGACAAAATATGAAAAAAATAAAAATAAAATGCAAAATTATAAACGTATGGTTCAGTTGTTCGTCTTTCGTACGGGTATAGGCCACACAACGTGCTTTATTATGGGATTAATGTCTTAGGGCCGTTCTTACAATGTCCGGTAAAGTGTCGGTTAACGCTAAACGACTGATAACAGATTTTATTACCGGCAGAATTCTTCGGGTTAAGTGTCGGTTAACTTTAACCGGACGTCGTAAGAACGGCCCTTAGTCCGATACTCTGATGGTCGTGCGTAATAATAACCGGATGGTAAAAAATTCGCCTTCTACGTACGCGCAAATTGATTTATATGTACAGTCTCGGCGGTGTTCGCGGACAGTCAAATTACGATGTAACCAAGAAATATTAATTATGATAACTATATACCTACCCGCATAAATAGCAATAAATTATTGAACCGTGAATATAATAAATAATGGTCAGAAAGAGACATTTTGATAAGTACTACCCATAGGCGCAACTAGAGGCGAAACACTGGGGGTGCTAAAATTATGTAGAGAACACAAACCCGCGGGGGCTACGCCCCCACACCCCAAAATAACATACTTTGATTTTATAATTACTATTATTTACAATATATTTATATATATACACTAATATTTAAGTAAAACAACAGTAATATACCTGATGAGTACATGAGGTATATTATATTATTTAAGTGATAAAAATAGTAACCTGGAAGTGTAAATAGATAAAAAAAAAATGTGGTCAAGTGGGTACCGCTTTGCTGTACAATAGTTGTTGTAGTGAATGTGTTATATTTGAATTCAATTTGAAAAATGTTCTCATAAATAGCTATAAATAGTTCATAAAAAATCAAAAGTGTTTAAAGAATTTACGATGTATGGAAAATGCTATTATAAATATTTGGTGAACATTTCAAGAGTCTACGGTTATTCATTTTGGAAATACAACAAAATCCAAAAAATCGATTAATGGGAATTCGATTTACCGCTGAATATCGAATATCGTGACAATTATAAGTTCGAACACTCATAAAAAATTCAAGTTTAAGTATACGTTTTTTTATAGGTAGACAAACTTATGTGAAATCTTTTATGAACATTTTTAATATTGGGCCTTAACTGTGAAAAGAAAATATTTTATGAATTGCTAACTGAAAAATAATTAAAAATATTTGAAACATTTCTCAGTTATAAATACCTTAAAAAGAGTCAAAATTGTTTAAACATTTTACCATGTAAGAAAAATTTAAATTTTAACATTTGATAAAAATTTCAAGTACCTATCTAGGATTATTCGTTTTTAAATTACAGCAAAATATCAAAAATTGATAGATGAAATTTCGTTAATTTACTGATAAACATTGAAAATTGAATGTTGTACACATTTTAGATTCAAACGCTCATAAAAAATGTATGTTACTTTCCAGTAAACTTTTTTTTTTGTTTAAGATAGTACCAATTGTGAGGAGTCTTCTATCAACATTTATATTGTTAGCTATGAAAGGAAAAACGTAGGTATATAAATTTCTCACTGAAAATTTCCAAAAAAAATTGAAGAATTCTAAATTTTAATATTTGATATACCTATATAATCATTACAAACAATAATTTTTGTTTCTGCTAAAACAAAGAAATAAAAAAAAAAAACCTTAAGTAAAGCTAAAAAAACTATTTTTTTCATATGATTTTTCAATTTTTGCTGTTTTTGAACTGGGGGTGCTAAATTAAAGTTTGGGGGTGCTGAAGCACCTCCAAGCACCCCCCTAGTTGCGCCTATGCACTTATACCTACGTTTTAATAATAAATAACAATAATAAAAATAATATTATCCGAGATTTCTTCCGTTTCTTCTTTTTAATGTACCAATTTTAAATATCATATACGTCTCTCAATATTATATTATACGTCTCGGGTAGTCCGACAGAATATCCAGCGATTTATTTTTATTTACGAATGAACTAAAAAAAAAAACAACAGATTTTCAAAACCCCATATAATACCTGCATGTATAATTTTAGCAAAATATAATTGCAAATATATCAATATTATTATATACCAAGGTACTTACAAATTACAATATTGTTAATCATCGACTTGGACTGATTTATAATACTTTTATTTTTTCATATCCCACGTAAATGTTCCTCAGGCGACCAATTAAAAATTGTTTTTAAATCCCAATTAAGGTATCATCCGTATAGCTGGTATTATTTATATCTAAATTATAATATTAAATATATAGATTATGGATAAATCACGGGTACATAGATGATACATGACGTATTGCACAACTTCGTAAATTATTATCTAAATAAACTAAAATAAAATAGGGTCATTCAAATTTTATTTTTTTTTCCTCTATTAATACAACATCATAGAACATGAATTATACAAGGTGATTCACTAAGTATATACATTTAGATGCTCATTACTAACTCCCATTTTTTCTTTAATAATTTTGACTTTTTCTTTTATGGATATTGTAAAATTTATATTATACAGGGACACAAGGCTTGCTCGCCCATTTTAGTACCTACATCGAAACTATAAGAAAGGTGAAGTAATAAGACTTCATTATTTTGTACGTAGGTACATTTTTATTCTCTATATTATGGTACCTTTTACGAATGTGAAGTTTTTCCGTCCGAATGGATTGTGTGACGGATTCGAACAATCGACAGTGGCAAATGTTACCTGTTATTTATATACCATTTTACAGTGTCCTACGATTTATTATTATTATTATGC